ACCGAGCTATGCGTCCTATACAGAGTTTTTTCCACGCAACTTGTTCATTAAAACTTTTTTAGAATCTAATTTAGATAGAAATTTGAATGTTTCAAGCTCAGGGTATTTTCAGTGGTGGTCTTTAGATAGTTTTACTTTATGTTATTGTAGTTACTGCCAATTTCCTTCATTTAAATAAATCACCCTATATATTTTTAATATTTTGATTTTACATAAAGTTCTAACATATTTTATGCATAATGTAATACCTAAACTTTTTGCATCTTTTTAGATTATATGCCGTCAAAATAGATGTAACTTCTTGTAAAGTTGTTTATACTTAATTTTTTTAAAAATATTTCCCTTGCTATTTCCCTTATTAGATCATATCTAGCCATGAAGACTGGTGATAAAAAATATTTTTTTATTTAACCAAAAGTACTATTAACCTGTATGCATACTTTACGGAACTACTTCCGATTATATCAAAAAATATGTTTAACACTTTGAAGGTCCACATTATTCATGGTTTCGTTATAATCCAATAGGAGAAATTGAATTTTGTTCATGGGAAAATGTTAACCGGCAAATATTTGGAAAACTATTGTATTTAGTCATAAACAACTTTATATGTATAATATATATACTCAGATGCAAAAAAAAACGCAACGGAGAATTTTTTCGTCAAGTAAAGTCTTCTATTTTTTTACTTTTAGCACTATTTTCATGATTTTTTTTAACAAACTGTATATAAATCTATCAACTTTAATTCATAAACTCGGTTTTTTATAAACTCTAGTATTTAGCTTATTATACAGGATTAATTGAAGGATTGTTTTTTACCTTACCTTTAAAACACCCTGTGCAATAATTTCATGTGTAACTTTTCCTAAAACATTATTTTTCGATCAGACCCATTTCTCCTGAGCCTGAGCATTTTGTTTTTTATCTCATGTCAATATACAGGGTGTTTCAAAACAAATGCGAAAAACTTCAGGGGGTGATTCCTTGTTCAAAATAAAGGGTAGTTTGCTTCATAAACGTTGGGTCAAAAGTCAACCATTAGGGAGATACTGCGGTACAAAGATGGCGGAAAGGTATTTCTGGTGACTATTGTCGTAATGTCATATGAACACTGATTAGAACTCAAAATATTAAAATTTAAAAAACGTCAAAAAGAATAAAAAGTAACGATACAGGCTTGGTTTTAATAAATATTAGTAACACTAACAGAACTAGAGAATATTAAAAAAATAACTTTAATATCTAAATGTAGAAACAAACAAAAAACTTAAGTAAAAAATACTCTAATACTTTGTATTGCCTCCCTCGGCTGCTATAACTGTTCGAACGAGGGTGCAAATATATTGTGATATGTTTTCCCATTTCCTCTCCAAGGACCAAGCGAATATTCATAATTGTGACCAACAAGATCAATGACTTTTGCACAGTCTTTGACACTAAGAACTATATTCAATTATCGTACACAACAATAATCACTAAAGCTACCTCGCATTATAAAGAATAACATCAAAAAGAAACGATATTTGAAAAAATTGCAAAATGTTTGTGGCAAGTTCATTTTGCTTTTAAAAATTAACCAAGGCATGTGTTGCAATGAGTCAAAAAATTAAATATTCAGGAGACATCGTTCTGACTGAAAAATAACGTTTTAAGAAAATTTCCTCACGAAATTATTGCACAGGGTGTTTTAAAGATTGGTTAAAAAACAACCTTTCGATTAACCCTGTATAATAAGTCAAATACTAAAATTTATAATAAACTGAGTTTACGAATAAAGCTTGATATATTTATATAGAGTTTGCTAAAAAAATCAAGGAAATAAGGCTAAAAAATAAAAAAATATAACGTTTTAAATTTGAGAAAAAAAATTTCGGTTGCGTTTTTTTTGCTTCTGAGTGTATAAAGTTCCTTTTTAATTTTTATCGGCTAAAGGCGCATTCTCACCACTCGTGTACTTGAAAAATATTTGTTATTGGTATACAGGGTATACACGGTGCGTCGGGCATCTATATAGAATTTCTAAGTTATTTATTATAAGAACTACGCCGAACTCCCGCCAGACCCTGAAGGCCAATAAAAAATACTTGCCAAGTACACGAGTCGTGAGAACGCGCCATAATAAATAAAAAGAAGTAATATGGTGGTCTCGATTTTATTAATAATATTTGAGGCGTCAAGTTGCAAAACCTGTCTTATCCCACAAACGTTGTTTCGAGATAATAAGCAAAAACTGTTTTAGCAAATGTTTGAAGCATTCATTTACAAAAAACGTATCCATTGAGTGGAATCATCTCGTTTTTCTAGAAATAAAAATAAATGTTTAATTTTTAAATAGAAAAAATACAAAAATAATTCGGATAAGGCGGGTTTTGTTGCAGTATACTGCATATTACGGGTTTTGATTCAATATGATCAAGAAAAAACGGCGTCAGCGATAACTATGAAATGAAGAACGCTGTCATTTTATATGTAAACTTATAATGGGAAATGTCATTGATCATCATTTCCTAGCCAACAAGACGCCGTTTTTTTGGATCATACAGTATCACTGTTGTATAAACCATGTTATAAAAACCTCGTTTATTTTAAACTTTTGCTACCAACTGGAAAATGAAAAGGACCTCGCAAAGAGATGTCGCGATCTTAGTAAAAATGATCAATCTTGTTTTGAAACGCCTATATTTTTAATACAAAGCATTTGGTGCTATAACTTGTGAGGCAATTTTTTCAATAAGTTTATACGAAGCCACAAATTACCTATAACAGATGCGAAAGAACACCCAATTACGCGTTCAGGTTTCTGTGACCTTCAGAAAGAGTTCATAGACAATCCGCATCAATGTATAGTTTGGGTGAAAATAATCTGCACCAATATGTTATCGAGGCATACAAAAAGGTCCACAGACTTCGAGACATACGAAAAATCAAGTCCATTTAGCGTGTATCGCAATTTTCAGACCTTAAAAATTAGTTTTTTATAGCTATAGCAACTGCAGCGACTATGAAAAAAACTGTGTGATTTTCATAGAAAATAAGGGCACCTGTAATTCATTTGAGAATGTTATAAATCGCTAAAAGAGGTTTCAAATCTCTTAGATTTCTATTAAAATTAAATAAATTTTATTAAAAATTGAACTAAAATTGTTAGTATCATTAAAAAACTTCTAATTCAAAAATTGTATCAGTCAAATTCCCTCATTTAAGATGAATATTAAAGTAAGTATAAATACAGCTCATTCTAAGCTCTACTTATCTTTAAGAAACATTTAAATCATTGTTGCAATTGGGCCTTAATGCCATTTCGAATGAACAATAGTATTAATAATGTACATTATAATAATAATAAATTTGATATCATAGTGTGTATTAAAACTACTAAAATACTTTTAAATTGGTATTATATTAACAACTTTTGTTTTTTAATCCAAAAAAAAGTTACCAATTTTCTCAATCAAAATATTTGTGGTCCTGAAAAGGACCTTCGTTTTCCCATGTTCGTCAAGGTAGGTAGATAAACGGTAAAAAAACAGGATAATGAAATTTAAAAAATTACAAAAATTGTTCAAAAGTGCCTCCCTCTTGCATTAAACAATAACCCAAACGATCATAAAATCCCCTCCTCACATTGGATAACATATCAGGGGTGACAGTGTCAAAGGCATTAAATATTTTCTGCCTTAACTGCTCCAAGTTTTGAATTTCTTCATGGCCGTAAATTTTAGATTTTATGTACCCCCATAAAAAGAAATCATTCACCGAGAAGTCAGGTGAAATTAAACGTCAGTCTAAACAAAACTGTCATTTTTGAAAACTTGTCAAAATTTGGACACACGCTAAATGGACTTGATTTTCCTATGTCTCGAAGTCTGTGGACTTTTCTGTATAATCTCACAGTAATTTAATAGATTGCTCGTCATATTATATCAGCTCGTAGGAGATTAGGAAAAAAAAAGATATTTATAGTATAAAAAATTAATTTATTTAACAAAATTTAATTAAAGATGTGACAAAATAGTTACATTTCTATTGGTTCTATCGGACTTTTTTCGACTATATAAATCTTTATTTTTTGTAAACTTTAATGCATAAAATATTTTCAATCTAATAAATAATTTAATGATGTAAATAAGAGGAAATTTCTCACATGGGTGGTCAAATTCTATAGTTTTCATTATATCAAACAGCCTCTGAATGTTTTCTTCAGTGCAAAACTCATGAAAATTTAATATAAATAATTTTTCCAGCCTGTAAATAAAATGAAAAAATTTTTCCACTTTCATGATCAAAGGCTTTTAAATGGGTAAATAATTTCGAGTTGTCCAGAGATTCGGATTCTTTTGCAAATTTTAGACAAATATCACATTGATGTATTTGAAGACCCTTTTTAATGATGTAGTCAAACATAATTAAAGGCATTTTGAGTTGAAAACATTTCTCAGAGGCTGTTTGATATAATGAAAACTATAAAATTTGACCACCTATGTGAGAAATTTCCTCTTATTTACATCATTAAATGATTTATTAGATTGAAAATATTTGATGTATTAAAGTTTACAAATAAATAGGACCGATAGAACCAATAGAAAGGTAACTATTTTGTCACATTTTTAATTAAATTTTGTTAAATAAATTAATTTTTTATACTATAAATATATTTTTTTTCCTTATAAATAAACACATTTGCATCCCATTTTAAATAAGATATACAAATTACCAAAACTTAGAAATAACAGTTCAAAAGTTCAACAAAAATCCTACACGCATTTTTAAAAAGAAACATATAACCACGCACTATGTCATTCCAGCAAGCGAATACGACACAGCATAGGTTTCCGGACTAAACGACTGGTGAATTTACACCACTCAATAGGCGTGTCGGGTTTGCCGAGCGGTTTCCGATGCAGTCGCTTTCTTTCGCATCTGTTATAGGTAATTTGTGACGAAGCCTACAAAAAACTAGTCAATCCATTATACATGGATGTTTTATTTTTCTACAGGTATCAATTCTGGTTTAAATGCTGGTTTAGTTCCTATGTACCTAGCTGAGATATCTCCAGTCAATCTTAGAGGTGCCGTGGGTACAGTCTATCAATTAGTCATAACAATTTCCATCCTGATTGCCCAAATAGTCAGTCTCCGATCGATCCTCGGTACTCCCGAAAATTGGCCTACTCTCTTAGCCATTACTATTATTCCGGCTATATTTCAAGTGAGTACTAAATTTATAATCTCTGGAAATGTAATGTTAACGTACTTTTAAATAATATTTCAGATAGTAACATTACCATTTTGTCCGGAATCTCCAAAATACTTGTTGTTATCTAAAGGCAGAGATTTGGATGCGCAAAAGGCCTTGTCATGGTTCCGAGGCACCTTGGCTGTGCACGAAGAAATGGATGGTATGCGTGCGGAGTACGACGCCATAAAGCTAGTACCTAGAGTGACTATGAGAGAACTTATTACGAATAATGCTCTTAGGATTCCACTAATTATTTCTTTGACGGTTATGTTAGCCCAACAATTGTCTGGAATCAATGCTGTAAGTTTAATTTGTAAAACCGAACTCGAAATACGATGTACGTCAAAAAATCCCGACAAACGTTTACGCGGGACAAGTCAGCATGTTCAATAATATAATAATGGTTTTGTTATTGTCATTGTCATTTAAATATGTAAAAAATCTAGTTACACGACGAAACTTTCTAAAGTATTAACAGGAAATTTGTTTTTCAGAATTCGATTTTATGTCTACAATACGTATGTCCCCGGATTATATTAAAGTAATAAAAAATATGTTTGTTAACTTTAAACAGTAAGTCAGTGATACTTATAAAAATATTTTTTTAAAAATTTCCCCTTTTTTAAGGCCCGCCCCTCCAATTCCCCTCAATTTAGCTAGTACTGCCAGGCGACACCAGGTGGCGTCTGTTTCCATTTTTTAACATGAAGTTAGCATTTCTTTAATGTATCTATTCTCTGATTCTTTGATAGACGGCTATTATTAATGTTGATTACCGTCTATTATATTGTGCTGTTTTAAAATGTTAAAAAAGCACACAATCTACACACTTTTTTCATAGCATTGAAGTAAATATTTTTTTTTTGTTAGTTGAACATATTAAAGCAGCAAAAAATATGACGTTAGTCACAATCAATAATAACCATCTATCAAAGAACGAAAACCTTAAAATACCATAGAAACACGTTTTGATTTTTGAGACTTTCTATTGGGACTACCACTTAAAAATCATCTATATTTTCATATTTTTCTCTAAAACGCTAAGGAAATTTGAAATTAATAATAAAAATATTTCCTGTTGTAAAGACAATCCGGGAACATATTGTAGACCAGTGTTGCCAACTTTCTGAAATAGAATTTCCCACAACAGACAAAATTTCACGTTTTATTTTTTCTAAAAATTCCCATGAGTTCTCAAATCTAATATAGTATCGTCAACACAATAAAATCTTTGTTGGAATAACAAAGAAAATTTAAAAATTTTCTAAACAAATTTTGAATTATATATTTTTCAATTTTCTTCGCGCCAAAAAATATTGTGTGTAAATATATATCAAAACTCACTTTGCTGAGAAATGCATATACCATAACTTTTTTTTACGAATAATACAAGAATTTCGAATTTTAGAATTTCCCACGTATATGGCCCCCCGTTTTGGGATAAAATTTCCCTTTTCCCTGTGGATCTCGAAATTTTCAAAAAATCCGGAAATTTCCCACGGGTTGGCATCACTGTTGTAGGCATAAAATCGAATTCTGAACAAATTTTCTGTTAATAGTTTAGAAAGTTTCGTCGTGTATCTATATTTTTTACATATTTAAATGACAATGACAATACTAAAACCATTCCTATATTATTGAACAGGCTGACTTTTCAAAACCAAACCAAACCTAAATAAACTCTATATTATTTATTTCTAGGTAATGTTCTTCTCCTCAAAAATTTTCAAAATGGCTGGACTGAACGACGATAACTCCACATATGCTACTTTAGGCATGGGCGGTATTAATGTTTTTATGACCATTGTATCACTGGTATTAGTAGAAAAAGCGGGCAGAAAAACCCTCCTGTTACTTGGATTTGCTGGTATGACTGTTGACACGTTGCTATTGACCATTTGTATGTTATTTGCCGTAAGTATATCTCTTTTCTCTTAATTCAATATCTGTTAAAAACTGTTACTTTCAAATTACAGGATCAATCCAGGGCCTTGGGCATTATTTGTGTTATTTTGGTATTGGTCTACGTCATAATGTTTGCCTCAGGACCTGGCTCAATCCCGTGGTTCTTGGTTTCTGAGTTATTCAATCAATCAGCAAGGCCGACAGCCAGCTCTCTAGCAGTGTGCACTAATTGGACCGCTAACTTTTTAGTCGGATTGGCGTTCTTACCTTTAGCAGTAAGTAAAATCAAATTTATTACTACCTAAACTTAATAAATCTTATCATAAAATTGATATTTATTTAAAACTGTTACAATAACGTAATATATTTACCAGAATAGAACTGGCAAAGAACTTCTGGAAATTTTCATCGAAAGTACCCGACTATTGAAACTAAGTTATAATATTTAAAAAAAGATATCATTTAAACATGTAAATAATGAGGTTAGATGACATGATATCCAGAAGTATTAATTGAATAACATTAGTTCAATAATATACAAAGGAACTGTATTCCGGAAACTTCGCCAGCAGATAAAAATAAGTAAAAAAGTTCATGTAAATGTATGTCTTAAAATGCTTAGTTTCGGAGATACAGGGTATAGAAGTTTCATTTTTAATTCGAATATTTGGATGAAACTTTGTGTATGGGCACAGAATATCTAGCTACGCAACAGAAGCCTCGTTACATGTATAAAAGCGTAGGTAGCAAAAGGAGACAGGCTTTAAAAGCCTGTCTCCAAATCAGATATTTTGATGTGGTAGTTTCACTACTACATAACAGAGGGCGATAAATTTAAAAGAAAACAGTTTTCTACAAACGAAATTTAAAAGAATTTTATGCAGTGTTGCCATTGTGTAATTTATATTGTAATATTTCCTGATAAAGCCTAGCTTCAAATTTGCTACATCATTTAAACATATTAAGAGCTCTTTTTTCAAACGTTTAAGTATTTAACTTGCCATGTTAGTTGGAGTTAAATCTTACGAGCTGAATTAAAATCACTTCCTGACGTTTGATTCTAACTGAATCCTGAATTTTGATTGTAATTCGGCGACAATGTAATAAGTATTGTTCTACTATTATGACACCACTTCCTGACGTTCGATTGTGTTCATACCGTATAATCGGGAAAAAACGGCGTTAGCGATGGCTATGAAATGAAAATCGCTGTCATTTTATGTGTAAATTTATATGGGAAATGTCATAGATCGTCTTTTCCCAGCCAACTGGACGCCGTTTTTTTCGGTATCATACGGTATTTGATATATACTTGCGTATTTTTCAAGACATTGCAATATTATGCTACCATGAAGCATATCAAGTGATACCGTAATATAGTACCATATTACGATACATGGCGTTCGATTGGGCTTAAACTTGGTATATTACGTATCTTCAGTGACATTGTAATATTATGGTACCATGAAGCATATCAAGAGGTACCATAATAGTACATAGAAGTACCATATACGATAGAGGTACCATATACGATACCATTTCCTGGCGTGCGATTCGACTTATACTTGGTATAGTAAGTATCTTCGGTGACATTGTAATATGATGGTAGTATGATGCATATATAAAGTGGTACCTTAATATAGTACCATATTACGATACCACTTCCTGACGTTCGATTGGGCTCATATTTGATTATACTTGCGTATTTTTGATGACATTACAATATTATGGTACCATGAAGCATATCAAGGGGTACCATAATGTAGTACCATATTACGATACCATTTCCTGACGTTCGATTGAGCTTAAACTTCGTATACTACGTATTTTCGGTAACATCGTAATATGATGGCACCATGGAGCATATAAATTGGTACCTTCTATAGTACCATATTATGATACCACTTCCTGACGTTCATTTGGGCTCATATTTGATATATACTTACATATTTTTGATGACATTGCAATATTATGGTACCATGAAGCATATCAAGAGGTACCATAATAGTACCATATACGATACCATTTCCTGGCGTTCGATTGGGCTTAACTTGGTATAGTAAGTATCTTCGGTGACATTGTAATATAATGGTACTATGATGCATCTACTATGATGCATATATAAAGTGGTACCTTAATATACTACGATACCACTTCCTGACGTTCCACTACGATATCACTTCGTGACGTTCGATTTGGCTCATATTTGATTATACTTGCGTATTTTTGATGACATTGCAATATTATGGTACCATGAAGCATATCAAGGCTTACCATAATGTAGTACCATATTACGATACCATTTCCTGGCGTTCGATTGGGCCCAAATTTGATATACTTGTGTTTCTTTATAAAGATTTGTTTAATTAATAATTTTAATTTATTTTATGAATTTTAATTTATTGTACGATGTCGTGACAGCAACTTTTATGCCGAACTAATATATTATTAATTGTACCTGTGTCACTCTTTTAAATAACGTGGCAAACAAAAAAAAAAGTTATTATATAGTATTTTTTAGTCAATTAACATTTTTTGTACTGCATTTTAATAAATCATTTCCATTGTTATTAAACGTATATTTAATTACTAACGTTTCAGCATTAATAAATATCACTATCAATCGCCCTGTATATTATTAATTTTAAAGGTAGTTAAAGTTATTTTCTTAGTTAACATAATAAAGTAGTGTATATTAAAAATGTAGTTTGAGAGCATATGTTTTCTAATAATATACATAAAATTAAAACTATTTTAAAAGCCAAACGAATAATTAATATAAGTGTATCTGACAAGAAACGAAGAATAGAAAGAAATTATTATACACCAAAAAAAAGAATGGGATGCCAATTAAAGTCTGTTTGAATCTGGCAACTGTGCATTTTTAGCCGAGCTTCAAGGCCGTCGACGTGCCGTCGATCTACGTCGATCCAAAACCGAAAGTTGAAAATTTCCAATTATATTCTGATTATGATATTGTCGCGCCATCTAGTATTTTATTTGTGCAATTTTAGCTCTTTCATTTCGAGTATTTTTCTGTTGCGTAGCTAGATATTCTGTGGTATGGGCGTTTTGTGACACAAGAAATTTGATTTTGATGTTAAAATGACTCCTGTTTCTAAGGGGGCCACTTACATGTGTTTTAACTGTTTTAAAGAGTAATAACTTTTCGTCCGTACCTGTATAAAACTACTGAGTGAAAAAATATACATTTCCATGACATTTTACGTAAAAAATGTCTCCTGGTTAAAGTCGCTACGAGCAACCGTTCTCAAGATATTTAGAATGAAAATAGTCAATACATGTCATTATTGACAAAAAATAAGCACACATTGAGTATAGTTATTTGATTGAAATAATACATTTTTATTTTTTTAAATTAATCATAAATTTTTCTGCGAAAAAAATGATGATTAAACAGTTTCTGTTGAACTTTTGGCACAAAAAAATTCAAATTTATAATTTCAGTCTAATAACTATTTAGTCAACATGTTTAATGTATGTCAATGATGATAGGTATTGATAATTTAGATTCCAAATATCTGGAGAACAACTACTCGTAGCGATTTTTACCAAGAGATCTTTTTTATGTAAAAATAGTTGTAAATGTATATTTTTTTACTCAGTAGCTTTATACAGGTGTGGACGAAAAGTTATTACTCTTCAAACCAGTTAAAAAATATGTAGGTGGCGCCCTCTACAAGTAGGAGTCATATGACATGCATATGACTCATCATGCATCAAGCATGCAGTAAAAACTTCAAAATTTTGTATATAAACTCATATTATTTAGTACTACTATTAATTATATTTACATGAATTATATATATATATAGAGGAAGAGAATATTTTTCCAATTGTTTCAAATAAGCTGAAATTAGGCCACGATGCTGCATGGTACTAGGGCTGGCATTTCTGGTCTTGGGTGCCGATTTTCGTGTATACGAAGAGTACGGTCAACACGCGTAGTAAAATAAGATGTACTGAATAAATACTTCGTATTTTTCCTCACTCCGACTTAGTAGATTGCCATAGCGATTTACGATTCACTCCTATACACGTAAACGCCGACCCAAGGTTTCGCTTGCCAGCAGGGTATAATATCAAACAATAAAAAAATATCAAAATCAAATTTCTCATGTCAAAAATCTCCCAGACACCAATTTCCATCCAAATATTGGCGTTACTTCAGAAATTATTTGGAAAAAATCGCAATAAAAATGAAACTTCTACACCCTGTATCTCCGAAACTAAGCATTTTAGGACATACATTTATATACGAACTTTTTTACTTATTTTTATCTGCAGAATATGCTGCTAAAGTTTCCGGAATACAGTTCGGACCACCCTGTATGTATATATAGGTATAGACTTTGGTTCCATGCTACGAAAAAGATAATAATAGTTATCGGAAAATGTGATACTTTAACAGCAAAAAATATGACGTTAATCAAAATTAATAATAACCCTCTATCAAAGAATGAAATCGAATTTATATTACCATAGAAACGCCTTTTGATTTTTAAGACTTTTTTTTTGGAGAAATTTTTTTTATGAAGAATGCATTTTTCTCAAAATGTCAATCATAAAAATGTAGTATGTAGACCTAAAATTTAATTTCAAACGACGCGACGCCTAGTCCGAGAAAATGTTTATTATCTTAACTAACTTAATTTTACGTGTTTAAAAGGCAGTTTCAAATTTGATTTGTCCATTTATATTGAATCTGATTATGAAAATCTAATAAAATTGTATTTTTTAATACAATTTGACAAACGCATGGTAGTTCACCACATACGACACGGGGTATTGTCGCTAAACGATTAGAGTTTTACAAATAAGTTTTGGGTTCGTTGAAGGACTTAGAGCTACAATTTATCAATATCAAATTTTTTATAAACGGAATATCCTGTATTTTTTCTACGATTAAAATAAAGGCAAATTTGATTAAGGTTTATCACACTTAAACATTTTGAAATTGTAGAAAAAATTTTAAGGCTTCATTTCTCCAAGGGTATCATAGTTTTTAACACTAAATATTTACTGAAGTTTATTTATTGATCTATTGTGTCGCAATATTAAAAATAATACTACCTCATACAGTAATATATATAGTAGAATTATACAGAGTATAGTTATTACGCTCAATAGTCGAATTCGGGCAATGCCCGAGAAAAATACGCAAATCTAGTTTTCAGCAAGGAATATTTCCCAAACCCAAAAATTTATTTTTATTCAATTATTTTTTTTGCTGTATATTTTACACGAATCAGTTGCACAATTTAATTGTCTATCAAATTGTATTATATACCACCATTATTTTCGCCTAAAAATTAGTTAATTACATACTTAATTGTTTTAAGTAATAATTATTCTAAATAGATGTGGACTCAGAAATCAATATAATAATAAGTTATGAAAATGAACGTCTCTGTTGTTATAAATAAGCATTCGTCAAACAATGATATAAAATTTATAAGGTGTTACTTTTTACCACACTGTCTAATACACATACAAAATTCAGTTTTTTAGTATTTCGAGCAATTATTATTAATCAACGTAAACAGTCATACTTATTGGCCCTCTTTAACAAAAATTATTTAAACAGTTTTTTAAATATGGATTTGAATCAGAATGAAATCAACATAATAAATTATATTGATTTCATTCAATATAATCAGAAATCAATATAATAAGTTGTAAGAACGAACGTCTCTGTTATAAATAAGCATTCGTCAAAAAATGAAATAAAATGTTTAAGGTGTTACTTTTTACCACATTGTCTAATATACAGACAAAATTCAGTTTTTTAGTATTTGGCGCAATTATTATTAATCAACGCAAACAGTCAATTAATGTAGTGAATATAAAAATATAAAAAAATATATATAATAAAATGAATACTGGAATCATATTAATTGGTCCTCTTTGACAAATATTTAAACAGTTCATTTTTTATTTATTAATGATATAAACGGACTATATGAACAATATTAGTATCCGTACTCTTTAAAAATTTCTAACATCTTTGAAAATAATACAAAATGTCAATATTCCATAGGTATATTGATAAATGAGGTCTAAATTATAAAAAAATGCATTTTCTACGAAAACTTGAAAAGACAGGTAAAAAATGGCAAAACAGAATTTAAAAGACAATTAAATTGTGCATCTGATTCTCATAAAATATACAGGGTGTTCCATTTAAATTAAACAAGTTATTGCCGTTTAAGCTAGTAATTATTTAAAATAAATTTTTGACATTCTGTATGAGGTAGTATTATTATTGCAACACAATAACTGATCAATAAATAGAGTTCAGTAAATATTTACTGTTAAAAACTATGATACCCTTGGAGAAATGAAGCTTTAAAATTTTTACTGTAATTTCACAAAATTGAAAATATTTCAAGTCTGATAAACTTTAATCAAATTTACCTTTATTTTAATCGTAAAAACTAAAAATATAATAATATACAGGCTGTTCAATTTTAAAAAAATACAACCCAAAACCTAGAATTTGCAAAAATCTAATCGTTTAGCTACAATACTTCGTGTCGTATATGGTGAACAACCCTGTATAAAACTTTTTTGATGTAATAAAAACTATTTAAAAATACTACTTTGTTATTTAACTTTATGTTACAATAATAATTGATCTTTTTTTTTCAGGAAGCCCTTGGACCATATGTCTTTTTAATATTCGTTGTTTTGCAAGCCTTATTCACACTGTTCATTTACAAAAAGGTGCCAGAAACGAAAAACAAATCACTGGAAGAAATATCGGCGATGTTCAGACAGCAATCATATCAATAATTTAGCAAAAAAAAAATGAAATAATTCAGTATTTATCCATAAGAATATTTATTGGTGTTAAAGATCTGCCGAATTCTATTTTTCAGCTCGAAAGATGTATATAGTTTTAAGGAAAATTAAATACCTACAGAGCGTTTCTGAATATTAAATTTTATATTTATATATTATACATATACTTCTGGCTCTAAATAGGACAAAAAATACTGAAACGAACTAGCGTCACTATCTTTATTTGAACATATTATATATGAAAATGTAATATTAACTTATAAGTACAGGACGATCAAAAAGAATTATGATGCGTTTGTTGACATCTAAGCAACTCTATGGAAAATTACATTAGAATATTTTACCTGCCAAAATGTTGATTACAAACCGAGTTAAAAACTTTTTGATTGTACTATACATATATTGGATATTTTTAACATGAACTCGAAACGCGCTGCTATCAATATGTGTCATATTTCCTTGCATGGACTGATATACAACTCGTCACATAAAATATACCGTCTAAGATATTTATATTTATTTAGTTGTTTAGTATGACCATTATTTTTATCGATTTAAGCTCTCTAGACTAATTCAAAATCTCATTGTATTGTATTTACATTGATGGCTGTATAATAATTATGTCAAAGAGCATAGCACACAAAGTGATTATTTTCAATAAAGACATAAGGATTACCTTTAAGCTATATTTTATGAAATATTATAAAAGTAAATTATTTATTGTATTAGATAAAGTCCAAATAAAAATATACATATACAGGGCCTTTTTGAAATAAAAATAATATATTTTAGCAAATATGTTAATATTGATTAGTTTTTTAAAGCAATGTAAAAAATGTAAAACAATAATGAAGTTTTAACATGTATGTGCAAATAAGAAAATAATCTATTTCAATATCATTTGTGCATTTTCTAAATTGCAAATTCTATTCCTATCTTGCAATTTAAAAATGTATAGAAAAACTAGAGTCTATTTTTAAATGATGTAGATTTTTTAGTTTTTACTTATTGTGTTTTAAATAAATTTTAGGTTTTTAATAAATTTGAGTTATTTTATTTATTACCCAAGTTTTGTTAATCGGATCGTTGTTGGATCGATTTATTAGAGTTGGATGTAAAATCGAGTCGTTAGTACAGAATTCTTTTTTATTTTATTTTTCAAATGTCACAAGAGTATTAACTTTTGCGACGCGATTGACAATATAAAAAGGTCATTTTAACGCCTAGGTTATGCCTATAATATAAAAAGTAATATATTGTAGTAATTTAAATTAGTACGTAATTTAATTACTTACAAGGTATTACTACTCATATTATTTGCGACATTTCACAAATTGTTTAAAAAATTATTTGTGACGTTTGAAAAAAAAAATGGCATGTTCTATTCGGAGAAAAAAAGTACTCTTTGTGCCTCCTCTATAACGTCCGTCAAACGTACAGCCTCGCCACAAAAAATATCATATTTACTAATAATAAAACAATATAATATCTGTACTATACCGGGTGCGTCTCGATAGTGGCTCACCCCTATAACTTTTTAATTTTTTCAGATAAAAAACCAAGATTTGGTATGTTAGTATAGGACATAAATTAGGATTGATCGACATATTCAATTGTTTTCAGTCACTTCCTGTTTCACCGGAAATGACTACAACTTTTGATTTTTAAATGACACCCTCGGTATTTTTTGCTTTATTCGATAGAAAATGACACTCTGAATAGAATGACATATCATATGTCAACTTTTGACATTTTTGCATATGGTTTATTTGAAATTGTAACATGCGGTTCATAACGACAATTTGACTCGAAATACCATGTGTATGGTATCAAATTATTCGTAAAAAATGCCTTTTCCAAATATGCTAATGAGTCACCCTTGTTCCATCTGAAAAACTGAGATATGATTAAAAATATGATTTGGGCATCTTTTAACTGGCCAGGACAAGACACGAAAGACACTAGACGATCAAAACTATTTTTCCAAGGATTAAAAATTACTGTTTTTAACACAACGTATAATAAAAAAAAATTTCAAGCGGGTATGTCAAAAGTTGACATATGATATGTCATTCTAGTCAGAGTGTCATTTTCTATGGAATAAAGTAGAAATATACCAAGGGCTTTGCAGAGGGCCATTTAAAAATCAAAAGTTGTAGTCATTTCCGGTGAAAAAGAAAGTGACCAAAAAGAATTGAATATGCCAATCAATCCTAATTTATGTAATATACTAACATACCAAATCTCGATTTTTTATCTCAAAAAATAAAAAAGTTATAGGGGTGAGTCACTTTTGAGACGCACCCGGTATTTAGCTGCATGCCAAAATTAGAAAAGCATAATTTCCCAGTTATGTCTATTCAAAAATATGTTATTTATAAATCAGTTAATATTTTTTATCCATGCAATTTTGATTAAATCAGGTAGTGTTGATATAAATTAACGCTACCAAATTTAACCAAGATCAGATAAAGAAAAATAGGATAAAATCGAATAAAGAGGAAAGAGGTGATTTTCAATCATTCTAATCAACAATCATTTTCAATTAACATACTATGAATTATAATAGAATTCACATTACCCATAGTGACATATTATGTGACATTAGTATGGTATGCTATACTTATGCCATATAATAGAGATATAATTAGATATTCATCAAATACTAATAATATGCGTATGTCCATATTATATACAAAATCTTATGATTAACAAATTATTAGTGTTTGCCTATAATTAAACATAAAAAAAATAAATACTTTGTATTGCATACTAGAAATAAATTATAAAGAATTTATAATAAAATATATAACATATTAAGTAAAATAGTTTAAATTGCTAATTACTTTCAACTTTGGGGACTTCAAAAACTGTTCCATTTAAATTAGTTTCCATTTCATCATCAGAACTCTCCAATATAGTAGGATCCAAGTCTGGATTATCAAAAAGGTCCTCTTTAGCTCTAAGAGAATTCTTTCTGATTTTAACATCACCTTTATTATTGTTATCTCCTTTAATAGACTCATAATTGATATGTGATATCCTAAAATATCATAACATAAAATAAAACCATTCCTTACATCAAATGTTACTGTTAACTACTACTTACATTTTTAATATATTAAAATCACCAATAATTAAATCAGATGGGTAAGTTTGATCAGTCTCAATAACTATGCCATACTCCTTGCAGTTTTTAATTTGGGTATTTTTCAGAAAAATCTGGCAATTATCATAGAGTTTTAAACCAAAACCACTGTTGTGTATAATGCAGTCACTGATATTAATTGATGACCCTGTATTACTGACAATCCCCATTGAAAAGCCAGATATTTCACAATTTGTAAGGTCAACTTTGGCTCCACCAAGTATCAAAATTCCTTGACATGTTGATGATGTTTCATTCCCAATAACTTTACAATTTCTCAAAGTAACACAGCCTTTCCTAATTACTATTGCACACTGACTCTTTCTACAGTCAATTGTAACATTTTCAATAAGTAAATAATCTCCAACACAGTCTAAGGCAACATCATCAGCCAAAGACAATATCTGTACAGAATCTCTGTTACCTACACCCTTAATAGTAAAGTCTTCTAGTATAGCACCATTACTATGAATTTTATGCTGACACTCACTTAACAAAATTATGTCATTAACATTCGCTGATTCTAATTTGGACATAAAATCTTTCGCAAATGTTACTGATTTATTTGGATACAAGCCTTCAACAATCTCTAAAAATCTTATGTATTCTTTTGTTATACCTTAAAGCAAAGAAAACATTATTTAAAATAAAACATGTAACTCTGAAACATATTACATTACACACCTTCTTTAAATATTAGCCAAATCGAGGGGTCATCTTTAGTTTTTTCAACCGTTTTCATAAATGCATTTTCTCTCTTAATAATAACATTTCGAAACATGTCATTTTCTAAAATATGCATTTCGTTCTGTATTTCTATTAATCTAACATTAATTTCCACAAGTAATTCGACTTGTTTATTGGGAAAACCTGAAAAATAATTTAAATAAAGACCTTACAAATCACAAAAACATGTAACCTACCATCATTAATTTCTATATCACTATCAAGATCCTGACAAATAGATTTGAGATTATGTCTTTTGCCATTTAATCTGCGAGCTTCATTTAATAGAGCATGAATATGTTCTGCTGTAGCTTTTGGTATTTTACCATTCTTAAGGTCATAATGCAATCTTAATCTATAAACAAGTATATTAAAAAATGAAACATATAAGTATTTGAATATACCTGTTGATTAACTGACTTCCTTTCCAATCAATTGAATCATCGTCTTCATCCCAGGGCATGACAAGATGAATATAGAAAAATCTAAGCATGTCTAAAGCATTTGCAGTACTATTCATATTTAAAGCAATACTCTTGTCTTGATCTCTAGTAGGCCATAATTGGCTCAATGGCACGTAATGCTTCTCAGGCAAATGTATATCATCTTGCACTGCTAAAATCCTAACTAGAGCAGCCAGATCTTTATAAATAACATTCAAAACATAAATCAAAACAACACTGGGGAATGGAATATGAAGTTCCTCGCATTTTAATCGAGGAATTTTCCATAAAGCTTGCCATCCGTTTGGGTCTAGTGTAAGTTCTAAATAATATGCCCATTCTTCTTGTAACTTCGAATAAGGCAAAGGCCCTAATTCAGAAAATACCTGATTATATTCTTCCAAACGGTTTTGGAGACTTTTATCAAAAGATATGATTTGATCCATAATGTAACTAATACAAACTGAATAATAAGATAAATCCCAGAAAATAAGAATTTTAAAATGTATAACAACGGCACATAAAACAATTAACGATAACGACAAAACTTACTTTCAAATTTAAAGTTGACATCAAGTTGACGTTGACATTTGACACTGTTGACAATTTACGAGGGTGACCCAAGGATATATAGAATAAGGATTAGTAGTGGGAACTATCGAATGAATACTATCGAAACATTCGATAGTTGCAATTCATTCGAATAATTCGATAGTTAGTAAGAAAACATTCGTTGAAAACTATTCGAATAAAAATTATCGAATAGATCAGTCATCTGCCTTGAAATATTGTATTCTAGTAATTCGGCAGCAAAAACCATTCATTTATAAAATTCATTCATTTATAAAATTCATTCATTTATAAAATTCATTCATTTATAAAATTCATTCATTTATAAAATTCATTCATTTATGAAATTCATTTATTCGTCAGGATCGATTATAATAAAATATTAACTGAATTTTAGTTGTCGCCCGGCGACGCGACGTAGGTTTCTTTCCGAGAGACCCGACAGCGGTCGGTGGCAATGCTATGAAAGAAGCCGGCATCTTTGATTTTTTGCGGAGTCAGATATAGATAAGGACACATTATTTTTTTTTATTAAGGTGCTAGTATTTACACAGAAAATACATTATGAAGGGCGCTGTTGCCATATTTTGGTATTAGTTGATATTATCAAAGAATATTATTGTTTGGCTTTAGTTAGTTAGGGATAGTAGGCATGTCTATATATTCTGCATTTTTTTTATTAATATTCTGTTGTTACACTGCAATAATACTTGTTGTTTTGGATGTAGGAAAATTATTTTTAATGTTTTTAAGCAAAGACTGGTTTAATAAATAATAATAACGGTAATAATTTGTTATACCTATTAACAACAAAATTTAAAATCATTTAATATAACATTTTTTTTAAGTAGTAGCAAAATATAAACAACAAATTTGATGTCAAAATTATTTATATTAGATCCTATTTAAAAATAATATAGTCTCTCAATTTTTTGTGGCAACGTTGGTTTATTAAATAATAATAATTACAGAACTAATTTGTTATATTAACAACAAATTTTAAAATCATGAAATATAAACATTTATTAATTTTCTAAGCGTGCAGTGTAATGCAAGGAAAATATAAATAAAAATTAGAAATCAAAATTATTTATATTCGGTACTTTATATTACTATTTAATAATAATAATATTTACTTTTACTGGTATTTACTTACTAAAAAATAAATGAAATATTTCTTCGCAAAAAACTACATGTAAGAGAATTAGCATAAACAAAATACAAACATCGTTAACTTTTTTTTAAATTGGCACGTGTAAAACTTTTAATTTAATTTTCTCACCCCATAGTCTGAGTTCGATAACCATTTACTTAACCACATTAATTAATATAATTATTAAGTTCAACTAATTCATATTATTAAAACATCTAAAATACAAATATGTATTTTTAAAATTAATTGTAAGTTCATCTCATCTCTCTTAAAAATTGCTACTTCTCAAAATTTCCCATTAAAAAATAGACCATATACCATATAAAATTAAATAATTGAAAGATCGGGCTACGGAAAATCACACAAACTTTCGGAAAAATTTTGACCACCTGCACACGCACACAATCGTCAATTAAAAAAACTACTATTTTAGTATTTTAAATATTTTAATAAACGCAAAAATAGCACAGTATTTATAAGGCGAAGTTATAAAAATTTGGAAGAACTAATAATGCACTGACGCACACAAAAATCAAACGAATACTAAATTTCATTTATCAAAAGCATTCGATAGTCGTGGCTCAACGATAACCATTTAGTCGCACGGCGAGGTTGTCACATATGCTTTAGTTTACAAATGAATGAATGATTTTATTCGAATAAAACCATTCGATAGTTGAAATCATTCATTCATTAACCATTCGATAGTCTAATTCATTCGATAGTTCCCATCGCTAATAAGGATATTCGACTGGCCCAAAAAAAAACGTGCCGTATTTTGTCGAGGAAGTCGATTTCGTCACGACCAATGGGCGTCGAGTCTTTGAAATTGAAAACATAAAAATTGACGGTAACCTGTGTTTTTTGACTCATTTCACTGACACTGACAGATGTGAAGAGATTGTTATTGTAATCAGAGACAATTGTAATTTATAGATCCAAAATCCAAACGTTTTTTGAATAAATAATTTATTTTAAAGTTATTTCCTAGAGGTTTGGTTTGGCCTTCTATATTCTGGTATTTGTCTACTAATAAATAATATCTTATTTTGTATTTCGATGTATGGAAATCCGCAAGCTTTGTATCTGAAGCCGCAAAGAAATTTCGCTCCATAGTGAGAAAAATGTTATATCTTTTTAGACGCGTAGAATTACAAAATTTCTTATTTCAGATGTTTTAAATGTGAGTGCTTAATGTCAAAAATTAAAATATATACTTGAAATATTATTTCAAGTTACATGCTTTGACATTGTTTGGAAGTAAACAAATATTGAAGAAAGTGTTGTGCCTTCACAGAATTTAAATTGGCATTAGGAATAGATTTCCTTGATTTAGTAATGATATTGCTCATAGAAATTGATGATATACTATTTTATATTCACTCGTTCAAGTGCTGATCTATTTTTAAATTGAATATTTATGTAAATATTATGTATAACACGATATAAATAATTTAAGGACATAAGAAATTAATATTTCAAGTGTCAATATTGATTATTTTTCCAGTTTTATTCAAATATATTGAAATTAATATGGAAACAAAAGTTCATAAATATTATTCTTAATAACAAGAATTGAGATTTGGGGATAAGTTTGAAAAGCCATGTCAGAAGAGTAGGATTAAAGACAAGTATTAAGGTAACATATATTTGCATAAGTTTTAATAACACTGACAATTTTATTTGTTTATGTTTATTAATTAAAATTTAGTTGCAATTTATTTCATATTCTAATATTTTTGAGAAAATTTTACTTTTATACATACCTGAATATTATGCTGCTTTTTTATTTTAAAGTGTGCCGACTGTGCTGTTATTTTTATACTAATAATATTGTATACTGTAGGTATCGTATTCATATATAGTTATATATATATATCAGTAGTATAGATACTTACTTTCTTTCTATGCGTACTTATATCCTTTATAGTCTTTCTAAGTGCATATAATACTACTTTTTTAAGAGAAGGCAGTTTTTAATAATCTATTGTTAATTCCCCTAATTCTGTGTCCCCTGGTTCTGCTATACAACAATTATATATTTTTTTATCATTACTGATTTTAAAAGTTTCTTTTCAAAGAATTTGACCATATTTTTTTTTCAGAGTAATTGGGCTGTTCCTGAACAATATTGAATATAAATATTCAAAAATATGATATGCATATCCTACTAAGTAGATCAATACCAAAATCCCATTAGAGAAATAAGTTAAAATTATGATTTACTTGTATAATTTTCTTGCTATTTGTCCACCATTATTTGTGACTTAGAAATTAAATAGTCAAAAAGAATTTAGTACCAGTTTTTATTTCCCAAAAAAATTAATTGTTAAATAATTACATATTGCTTAAGATACAGTATGTTATAAATAGGCCATCTGGATTAGATAGACTGTCGTGGAACTTGGTGAAAAATTCACAGCCTGGATAAGCCATGCTTAACAGACAAAAGTTCGAGTACCTTCTGGCATCAACTGTCTAGGATGCACTCATGTACATGCCCAGTTTGACTTTCCGTTTCTCTACTCTGATATTAACAATAGTTTTGACGTTCAACGCATGTAAATGCTTCACGTCTTCGTTACATACTTTTTGCAGTAAGTATGTGGGACCTCGTTATTTTTTGCCATCAGGTTAAACCTCTGAAGTTGTTCTTCGCTGGGATACAAGAACTCCCAGAGAATATTAAGAACGTCCTTGGCAGAAAAAACAAAACTTCTGTGATAGCATACTTGTGAACGCTAGCTACAGCTGATGAACGGGATACAAATTGTCCTTTGAATAAAATGACAGGCACAGGAAATCTTTGTCTCAGTCTTGCTAATTTAGCTTCCTCAAACAAATTTTTAGTGGCTGGCGTTGAAAGAAAAATCTTGTTTTTTTGGTCTTCGAAGATGGTTACTGTTGCGTGACGATCTGATTCCTATCATGGGAATGACCATGGGATAGTTGAAGCGTTTATTGCCAGATCGATGGAAATTTTGTAACTTTGTATTTTCTCCATCATAGCCATCACGGCATCGATATGACGATTCGGCTTATTCTCCTCATCAACATATAGGTGCTTACTGCCAAACGTCCTCAATACCTCGCAATCTTTATTTAATAAATCAATTCTATGGCATCGTATTTTGTGTGTTCATAGATACTTCAAAGAGGCGCTTGTGAACAAGGGTCTTTGTGAAATATATATGAAAACACAAAATCTGATGCCATAGAATTGATTTAAAAAAAGATTGCGAATTATTGAGGACTTTTGCAGTAAGCACCTACTATGTTGATGAGGAGAATAAGCCGAATCGTCATCTCGGTGCCGTGATGGCTATGATGGAGAAAGATTACAAAGTTGCAAAAATTTCCAACAGGTGTGGCAATAAATGCTTCAACTATCCCATGGTCATTCCCATAACGGAATCAGATCGTCAGGCAACAGTAACCATCTTCGAAGACCAAGAAAATAAAACTTTTTCGTTCAACGCCAACCAGCTAAGAGATTTGTTTGAGGAAGCTAAATTAGCAAGATGTAGACAAAGATTTCCTGTGCCTGTCATTTTATTCAATGGTCAATTTATAGGCCGTTCATCAACTGTAACTAGCGTTCCTGAAGTATGCTATCGCAGAAGTTTTGCTTTCTCTACCAAGGACGTTCTTAATGTTCTCTGGGAGTTCTTTTATCCCAGCGAAGAGGCACCTCCAGAGGTTTAACCTGATGGCAAAACATAACGAGTCCCAGATACCCCCTTACTGCGAAAAAGTTTGTAAAGAAGACGTGAAGCATTTACAAGCGTTGAACGTCAAAACTATTGTTAACATCAGAGTAGAAAAACGGAAAGTCAAACTGAGCATGTACATGAGTGCATCCCAGACAGTTGATGCCG